ACAGTCTGTCCCTTGGACGCTCCATAAAGGAATTGACCCTGAGAACACGCTGCTTTCAGATTCTGCCCTCCAGGACCGTGAGAGGATCAGGCTCTATTGTCTTAAGATGCACGGTTTGTGGTAACTGGTTAGGACAGCCCGGCGCACTCATGCACGTATACACGCAGTATCTCTTGCCTGGGCAGCGCTACGGGAATGAGCTGCGGAACACTCTCCCTGTGGCTGGTGTGGCTCAGAAGACTGGGGCGACATCCCATACTCCAGAAGGTGGGCGACTCCATTCCCAGTCAGGGCACACGCCCAGGTTACGGCTCAAGCCTGGTGGGGGCACGCGACGGAAGCAACTGATCCAGGTTTCTCTCTCACATCGAGGTCTCTCTCTCTCTCTCCCCCTTCCCCTAAAATCATTTAAAAATTTTTTGAAAAAACAGCAGAAAGAAACAATTCTCGTGAACAGAGCCTGAGAAGGATGAAACACTGCCCCCTTCTGTCTGAACTTGGCTCCTCCTGATACTTTTTTCCACCATGATTGGCACTGGATGATGTATCTAGGCTTTATTCATTCTTCATCCAAATTGAAGGCATATGTAAAAATTACTTTAGATGTGTGTATCCTGGTTTTCCAACGTGCTACCATCCTCTTATGAAGACTCTGGTTAAAGTCAATTTAGTATTTGTCATTAAAAAATGACTCACTACTTTAATCAATACACTGTGTTGGGCTTTTGTTAAATAAATGTTTGGGTACTACATGATTTCTTAAAATTATTAGACTAAGACGTCTCCCTCCAGCTTCACGCAGTCCCTTTGGTACAGAGCAAGGAGATGAGCACTGGTGTTCTGGGAGATGGCTTACTGAGTCAGAAGACCTGGGAATAGCTCTAAGTTTTATAAAAATAACAGCATGCACTTGTTTCAACGTACCTTGAGGGGAAAACCAAATGTAGAGGGAGCAGAATGATCTAAAATGAGTTTGAATTCACTGAAACTGAAATTCATATTATCGTTGAGACACGTCAGAAAACAGAAACAGAAGCCCTAAAGTCTGAGAAGCAGTGGCCTGGAACTGAACGTCTCCACCTGGAATAGAGTGAGCTTCTCCTGTCAACCTCGAGAAGAACCCAACTGTTCAAGCTACAAAGCGACCACACAGGAGCTGATCGTGGAAGAAAGATGACACTCCCAGGAGACTTACAGGAGGGCACACTCCAACCACAGCACTGCTCCCACGGAGATGTCTCCCTCTGGAGTTCTGGCAAGCCAAAATCAAAGAGGAACCACCCCATCCCCTACCCTACAGGTTTCAGGCAGATCTCAGCTAAACCCTCAAAAGGGTATTTTTACTAAGATGAGAAAATTCACTTCTCTCTCCTGTAAGAGTGATCAAAGCCTACTTCTCCTTGCAGGGACCTTAGCATCCACAGTGCTGCTACTCCCAAGAAAGCAAACCGAGAGAGTGTATCTCTCTGATCAGCATTTCCCCACTCGGGGCTCCATGGTTCCCTTACTCACTGTAAAATCAGACAAAACCCTGCAGCCAACAGTTCACTAAGTTCAAGAACAAATAGTAGTTTCATCTTCCAAGGACCCACTCCAGTCCAAATTCCAGTGCAGGTAAACCTAAATCACTGCAACTTTGTGAAAGTTGTCCATAGAGATTATGTTTAACACACTTTTTTTTTCTCAGTATAAATATGTGAATCTTTTTTATTGGAAAAGAGATAAATATAATTTGCATTCTTCAAAAATAAACAAATCAGAAATAATCTGTTCTGGACAGCAGTTAGGGAGATGGCCTGGTTAAAGGTCTGGTTAGGGAAATGACTTGTCATAAAATTTTGACAGTAAAGAAAGCCTCTTCAGAAAGATTAAACTGTAGTTTTCCAAACCAAGGGGCAAAATTTATAAGCTGTCAATTAAAAAATAAATGTAATAATTTGTTTAGGTTATAACAAAAATATAAAATGAGCAGATGTTTTGGTTCTTTTAAGATAAATCATCCAATAGGATAGTCAGTAGTCACAGTATTTTAATTCAAGTAAATTAAAATTACATCAAAAGTTGAAGTCCTTAGTGTCTTCCTTATACTTCAAGTGCTCAGAGCAGGTCTACAACATTTACACCTTTGTAAAAATGTTCCATTGGGAAGCACTGCTCTAGTGCTATTTTTGAGTCTTTTGTTTCTTCCTAAAATGTTATTGACATTTGTATTAGTTTCCTGCTGCTGTTATAACAAAACACCAAACACATGGTGGCTTAAAACAACAGATATTTGTTCCCTTCACAATTGTGGAGGCCAGAGTCCCAAATCAGTTTCACTGGGTTGAAATCAGCGTAGTTCATGACACATAAAAAGTACCGGATAAACGATTGGTAGTAAAAGAAATTATATATATCATGGTTTCCGTGAAGACTGTTACATATTTTCCATTTATTGAAGGTTTGAACATACTCCTTATAAAATCTGTCATGCTGATAAAAATATCACTGTTTTTGCTGTTGTTTTGTTTTTGTTTGTTTGGGTTTTTGTTTGTGTTGCCTTCCCATCAGGATGCCAACAGCTAGAATACATGTGAACACAGGGTGTGTCCAGGAAGACCCAGGCCACACAGTCGAAAGGAACCGGATTTACACCTGGGCTCATTTTAGGCTTCTCCCAAAGAAGCAAAACTTCCTCCTGAAGATCTCATTCTAAAGAACTAATTCTGTCTCTCCACTCACTCTATTTGCTGCAATAAAGTGATGACCAAATAAAACAGACATCTACAGAGCTGTAAAAATGACCTCTGTGGCCAGCTCAGTCTGCACATAACAGTGTTGCCCATGAATTAATAAAATATGATTTGGTCATCTCTGTAGCGACTATTTTTATAATCTCTGCTACTAAGTTTATACAGAGGTGAAAGCCTTATATGCTTGTTATTATGAATTACCGAAGTGTTTGGTTAAAGATCCAGAGACACAGAAGCATGAATCATACTGATAAACCTCAGACAGAAGTGGGGGGG